GGAGAGCCTCGGGCACGCGTCGGCGACGACTTGGGGGCTTCTCCTTCACCGAGCTGCCCAGGGTCGGCTGGAGCGCGCCTGGTCCTCCCAGCGGGTTGCCGGTCGACCCTCTGCGGCATGCTGCCCTCGGAGCTGGAGGCTCCAGCTGGTGCCAGGAGCGACAGCCTCGGGCCCCGCGGGCCCTCTGTGCGCAGAGTTGGCCGGGGATCGGGGTCCTGCCCGGCTCCAGGGATCGGGGAAGCACTGCCTCGGCACGCTTTCGGGGGCCCTCCGATCGGTGCACGTCGGCCTTCTCGAGGAGGGGCGCCTCTCGGGGCGCGGGCGTGCGGTGCGATCTGGACCAGCTCTCGCGCGCGCGCAGGTGCGGGTGCCACGTGGGCTCTGAGCGCCCCAGATGCCATCCGAAGGTTTGGCAGTTTGTTTCGCAGGCCGTCGAGGGCAACCTTGGCGGGCAGGCCACTTTCCATGCTGGTCGTGCCACGGTGGTCTCCGTGGGCTCCAGGAGACCTCAGGATCGGGTGGTTGGGCACAGGTCATGCGCTGGTTCCGACCTGGAGGCTCTCTCGGGAGTTGGATCCAAGGTCCAGGGACTCCAGGGCATTGTCAAAGTCACAGCTCACAAGGAGCCTCAGGGCCACGACGAGGGTGCGAAGTTAGGCGCGCCCCCCGCTTCGCGGTCTGGGCGATCTCAGAGCGAGGCGCGAGTCCCTCATCCTGTTCCGGGCGGGTGGGGTGGGGGAGGCGGCGCGACAGCGCGAAGACAATCGCGCCTCGCGCTTCGTGGAGTTCATCGCGCGAAGATGGTTGCCGAGCGCGCTTCGAGGAGCGCATCGCGCGAAGATAGCTGCCGAGCCCAAAGAGGAAGGCATCGGTGCCGAGGAGGCGTCTCCGCGCAGGACAGCCACGATGGTAACGCATCGGCGTGACTGGGAGCTGGCCTGCGCCCGACGGCCGACCCGTCGATGCTGAAACAGATGGCTCGTGCTGTCAGTATTACCGGAGTAGCTGTCCCTGGATGCTGCAAAGGGGGGGTCCCGTTGTGTGTGTGTGTGTGTGTTTGTGTGCGCGTTCGATCGGCTCTTACACCGAACCGCCCAAAACAGATGCCCCCGGGCCGCTGGCAGCTCCCGATAGCTGCCGACAGGTGGGGCATTCGGGGGGCATCTGTTTGGGCCTGGCGAAGTGCCGACTGCGGGTTGTCCCATGGGCTGGTCATGGGCCGCTTACATCATTAAGCATGCCGTAATACACGTCCTGAGGTCCTGAAGCCCTGCGTTCTTGCTGATCGGGTTCTCGCGTAGTGCGGTCCAATGGCGCCTGTGCAGCCTGGTTCTGGGTTTGCTCTGGTGCACATCGGCAACTTCGCGGTCATCGCCGCCGGCCGGGAGGAGGCCAATGCGCCCTGCAGCAGCTGTTGGATGCCGTTGCGGCCGCTGGGGTCGACGCTGGACCCGAGCCGGCAGGCGCCCCATCTGGGTTCCGAGCTGGATGCTAGTGCTCAGTGGTGGCCCGCAAGCCCCGCGAGGTCGCGCTGGCCCTCGGCTAGGTCCACGCCCGCCGCGCGGGCCGTCAGATCGCTCGTGCCGCGGGGGTCGGCGTCGTACCACTCCGCCCCGAGCCTCTGCCGGTCTCCCCAGTAGCCCACGTCTTCGCGGACCGCTTTTTCGACCTGCCCGCCCGTGCGCGGGGTTCAGTCCGCTGGGAGCTCCGCGCTGCTTGTGCTCTCATCCCGCTGACCTTCTCGACCGCGGACTTGCCCCGGCGCCCCTTCGCGTCGTCCGCGGTCGCGCCCCTGCGCGGCTGCGGGGTCGCCGAGAAGCTGGGCGCGCCGGCTCGGCGGGCGCAGCGGGGCGGGCTTCCGAGCGCGGTCGCTGCCGAGGGGCCTTCCGCACCCCGCGCCTGGCAATTTCCGCGCCCGAAAATGTTGGCGCGGCTTTCCAAGGCTCTTGTGCCCTTACCGCGCATCTTTACAATGCGGGTTGATCGTATCCGAGCAACGCCAGCATCACCATCAGTGGCCCCGTTCAGCTCCTCGGGGACTCTCGCATACTAGGCCCCCCTCTCTCTCGAGCGCTGCCAACGCGATCCTTTTGCATTACTATGGCCTCCTCCTGGTCTAGGCGGGCGTCTTGGGCAAGCGCACGGAGCCCCTCGTCTTCGTCTGCCAGTGCCGCGTCGCCTCGCGTCGCCACCTGGCCACGAGGACGAAAGCTTCGACCTCGCTGCGCGCCCCTCGGTCGAGGCTTCGCGGGCCAGCTGGCGCCGGGGGCTTCTGCGAGCAGCTCGCCGCGGTCGCGCCCGGCGGCGCGCCCTCGCTGGGCCCTTCGCAGCAGGCCCCCATGGGGGCGAGCCCGCGGGGCCGCCTCCGGCTGGCGCCAGCGCGGGGGCGCTCGGGGCGGGGGGGCGCGCCGCCTGCCCGCGCGCTGCCGATTGGGCGTCGGCGGCCCGAGCGATCCCCGCCTGGTCTCGAGGCCGCAACTGGCTGACCGAGAGCTGGCGCCGCGCCGCCGTGGGGCGGGCGCGCTGCTCGACGGCTCGTCGGCGGCTCGAAGCCGCCGACGAGCCGTCCCCGGCGCGAACGAGGCGCAGGGGCCGGACTTCCACATCAGCTCGCTGGAGGCTGCGGAGGTGACCCCCGCCGTGCAGGCGAATGACCGCAAGGCGCAGCGCCGTCTGCTGGGGCGGCCGCGCGTGGCCCGAGCGCCGCAGCTGCTGGCCGCCGATTGGGGCCCCCTGCGGGAGATCCACGCGGAGGTTCTGCGCGACCGCGGGCTGCCGGAAGGAGGGCGCAGCCCCTGCGCAGGCGGCGGTGCGCTGAGGCCCCCCAGCGCTGTCTCGCCCGCTTCGCCGCGGGTTGCTCTTGGCGATCGCCGCGGTCGCGGGCTGGCGGAGGCCAGGGAGGCCACCGTCTCGGCTGCCCGCGCCGCGGGCGGCGACCCCGATGGCACCGCGCTTCTGCGCCCAAGCAAATCGAGGACATTGCTCTCTTCGTGCCGCTGCTGACCGTCGAGGCGCGCTCGCAGCTCAGCGAGGCCCTCGACCTGCCGGGCCTGCGGCTGGCGCCGCGGGTGCCCGTCGGCAAGGGGGCGCGCCGCTCTGGGCGACCCCGGCGCGCGCGAGCGAGCTCGGCGCGCTCGGCAAGACAGGCGGCATCGACAACAGCGTCGCACTCGTTCCCCCGCGCAATCGCGCGTTGGAGCCAGCTCATCGCCGCTTCGAACAGGCGCGCGCGGACGAGAGCACCCTGCTCAGCTTCAGCTGCAGTGGGCCTCCTGCTGGGCTGGAGCCGCCGCGCGGATGCCCGCGACCTGCGGGGGCTGAAGGCTGCGCCGCACTCGCTCCGCCACTCGGGGGCGTCGGAGGACAAGTCGCCCCAGCCCCGCGCGCCACTCGACATTCGAAAGAGGGGCGGCCGGCGATCGCTCCCGAGCGCGAGGCGCCACGAGAAGCAGGGCAGGCTCGGGTTGAGCGCCAGCGCGAGGCGGCTCGCGGGCGCAGGTCCCGGCTGGCCCAGCTCTTGCTGCCAGCTTGCGAGCGGCGCGCGCGGCTGCTACCTCTCTGAGGTGCTCTCGCTTTCTAGATATGTTTGCTGGCGCGGCGCCTGTGTGCGAATGTATCATGACAAGAGGGTGCGCTCTCGTTGCCTTCGACTAGAGTCCTCGGCCACAGTTGAACCCTTCCCGTCGCGATGTGGATGCCACCGTCGCGGGATGGATTGGGGCGCCGTCGTCGCCGACACCGGAGCTCGGACCGACGCGTCGTGGCGCATGTCACCGCCGCTTCGTCATTCTGAGAATCGTCGTGGTTTGCCGCCGTGTCTGATCCCCAAAGGGGCCAGGTTCGCGAAGCTAGCAGTATCATTGACACAGGGGGTCGGTTGCAGCAGTTTGCTTGGGATCTTTGCGTCCGTCGCGGGTGGGGGAATCCTGGACCTCCCTCTTGCGGTGCTGATTATATCGTGTCAAGGCGCTCTCGCGCGGCGCCGTCGTTGATGTCGATTGTGCTGCTGGTGGCCCCATGCGTAAGGGAACCCAGCTCGGGTTCCTGCATTGTGGGGCCCCGTCAGCGCTCCATGTCCGGCGTCGCGGCTCCCATGGCCCTTGCTCGTTCACTACGAAGAATCATGTGCATGTTCGTGATAAGAGTGGGGGGTAGATGGCTCTCCAAAGTTGCGAAACCATACCTTTTTTATACACGTGGTACTTCACCGAGCGGCGGTCACGTTCAGTTCAATATTGTCCCTTCTCTGGCCAAGATGCGGCATATTAGTGGCGTGGTTCGGTGATTTCCGTCTCTCCGCAAACGTGTGTTTGAATGGTGTTCGTGAATTTGTGCTTTTTGGCGGGAGGTAAATAGAGCCCTCTGAAATCCCAATCGCTGTGCCTCAACAGACAACATGAGCCGAGTTGAGGGAGGGTTTTGCTCATGTCAATGGTAGTGTTGACGCCCGCCGCGGCCTCTGACTCGCCCGGCAACGGCCGTTTTCTGTCTAGCCTAAAACATTCCCCACATCGGATTGATTTTTGTTTGCGGGGTTCCGTCTCTCGGCGCGCGTGTGTCTGTATGATGTTCGCGCACGTGTGCCTCTCGCAAGATGTTGTTTCAACCGTGTGAAATGCCCGTCGCCGTGCCTCGACAGACACATGAGCTGGCTTGAGGGGGGTCATCGTCGTCGTTGTCGTCGGCGCAGTCGTCAGCGCCGCCGTCGCAGTCGCGGCCGTCGTCGTCGCCGCCGCCGTCGTCGTCGCCGCCGCCGTCGCCGCCGTCGCCGACGTCGTCGTCGTCGCCGTCGTCGTCGTCTTCTTCGTCCGTCGTCGTCCGTCGTCGTCCGTCGTCGTCCGTCGTCCCAAGTCGTCACCGTCGTTGCCGCCGTCGTCGTCGGCACTGCCGTCGGCACCGTCGCTGGCGTCGGGGCAGTCGTCATCGGCGCCGTTGCCCTGCCCGTGCCCCCCCCCCCGTTCTCGTCCCCGCCGCCGTCGTCGCGTCGTCGTCGCCCCCAGGCTGCGCGTGGACGAGGAGGTCCTCGCCGCCGACGAGGCGAGGACTCGCACCCTGGGGGGCTGGCCCACGCGTTCCGGCTGGTTTGCTGCCGGCGGGGGGTGAACTTGGAGGGTCAGGCACCCTGAAATGGTTTGTCCCAACCATCCTGTCGTGTTGGCTTGTCGTTTTGAATGAGCAGCGCCCCCCGCGTTCCGATCCTCTTCCCCTCTTCATCCCTCGTCCTTTGTCTTCGTCGTCATCATCGCCACCATCGAGATCATTATCACCATAGACTTCATCAGCAACATCATCATCAGCAGCATCAGCATCCTTATCCTCATCAACATCATCATCAACATCATCAGCACCATTACCATCATCATCAGCAGCAGCATCGTCATCATCATCAGTATGATCATGATGATGCTGATCACCATCATCATCATCATCATCATCATCATCATCATCATCATCGTCATCATCATCAGCATCATCAACAGCATCAGCACCTGTATCATCATCAGCACCATCATCATCAGCAGCATCGTCATCATCGTCATCTCCATCATTATCTTCATCATCATCATCATCATCATCATAAACGACATGATCAGCACCAGTAACATCAGCATCATCAGCAGCATTGTCACCATCATATCACCATCATGATCAACATCATCATTATCGCCATCATCCTCAGCATCCTCATCATCCTCATCGTCCTCGTCATCATCAACATCGCCACCATCATCAATATCATGATCACCATAGACATCATCATCATCATCATCATCATCATCATCATCATCATCATCATCATCATCATCATAATCATAATCATACTCATCATCAACATTAACATCCTCATCATCATCATCACCATCATCATCATCATCATCGCCATCGTCATCATCCTCAACATCCTCATCCTCATCATCCTCATCATTTCTATTAACCTCATCATCCGCATCATCAGCATAATCATCATCGTCATCATCATCATCATCATCATCAGCAGCAGCATCACCAGCATCACCATCAGCATCGTCATCAGTGCCATCGTTATTTGCGCTATCGTTCCTCACGCGTTTCGTGGCCCCACAGGGAGCTCCACCGAAGGCCCCAGTGGCAGGGTTGGCATGGCGCCACCGTGCCCATGTTAGCACACCCCTCAAACGTTCTGTGGCCTCATAGGGAGCAGTCCCTCTTTCGTCCCACCTGCCTTGCGGTACTCGCACCTGCGCATGGTTGCGTCCTCCGCCGGGATCATGTTTGTCTCAACCCTCCTGTGTGTTGGGTCCTTGTATTGAGTTCGCAGCTCCGCGTGTCTCTTTCCTTCCTTTTCCTCCTGATTCCTCCTCTCCTCTTCCTCATCCTTTTGCCTTGTCCATTTCGGCGCACCCATCACACGCTTCGTGGCCCCATACGGAGTGCCACCGAAGGCTCCAGAGGCTGTGTCCGCATGATGACCCGCCCCATTCTGGCGCACCGCTCACACGCTTCGTGGTCTCATAGGGATCTCCACCGAAGGCCCTGGCGGCTACGTCGGAATGGTGTCCCGCCCCATTTTGGCGCTCTCCTCACACGTTTCGTGGCCCCGTAGGGACCTCCACCAGAGGCGCCAGTAGCTGCGTCCTCATGGTGACTTGCCCCATCTCGGCGCACCCTCATCTGGCCCGCAGTCCCATAGGGAGCTCCTCCGAATGCCCCCGTGGATGCGGCCGCGTAATGACCCGCCCCATGTCGGCGCACCGCCTCACACGTTTTGTGGCCCCATAGGGGGCTCCTCCTAAGGCTCCAGAGGCTGCGTCCGCATGGTGGCCCGCCCCATTTCGGCGCACTCCTCATACGTTTCGTGGCTCCATGAGGGGCTCCACCGAGGGCGCAAGTGGCTCCGCCCGCATGGTGACCCGTCCCACTTCGGCGCGCCTCTCAAACGTTTCGTGGCCTCCTAGGAGGCTCCACCGGAGGCCTTGGCGGCTGCGTCCGCATGGTGACCCGCCCCATTCCGGCGCACCCCGCAGCGTTTCGCGGCTCCACCGAAGGAGCCAGTGGTTTCGTCCGCATCCGTGGTCGCGGATGGTGCAATGACGAAGACGACGCCTGAATACAATAATCTTGGATGTTCTTCGGAAGTCCCTGATAATGTGACCAAATAACAATTCCATCTATAATGGTGAGATTATTTGCGGTGTTGTTTGGGGATGCCCGTCGAAGGCCTTGGCGGCTGCGTCCGCACGGTGGCCCGCCCCACCTCGGCGTACCCTTCAGCGCGCTTCCTGCCTCTCCCGTTGGCGGTCGCGAGAGCGCGTCCGTGAACTGACAACGTTGAATGCGATCTGGCGTTCTTCTGCGAAGATTTCAGGGCGGCGACTCGATGCAGGGCGGCCGCTCGCGGGCGGGATGCCCGGGCATCGGCGACCCCATGGCGTGCAAGGCGAGGATTCTGCCTCGGGATAGCGCCTCGTACACAGTGGGGGCCCCAGATCGGTCCCTGCGTTGAGATCATCTGTTGGCCTTGCCAGATATATAAGCACATGGTGGCCATAGGGGGGCAGGTGCTGATTTTCTGCTCCCCACTGCAGATCCCTCAGGTCGTCGCCGCGTGTTTCGAAAAGGGTTGGGTTCTTCGCGGGAGTTGTGGAATGTGTATCCTCTGGTGCGTAGCGGTCAGAACCCGCCCCCCCCCCCTCCCCCGGGCAATTGTGACCGTGCGTAGGGGGAGAGGGGGGCTGGACACCCGCCCAGATGCTGGTGGTCGCGCGCATACTTCGGCGATCGCGGCGCACCCCCGTCCCGACGTGCCCTGCCTCGCCCCCGCCCGAGCGGCGCTGTTACCCAGGGCTTCCCCCCGGACGACGACCGCTACCGGGAAGAAGAAAGCAAGCCATCTCCTCCTACGTGGAAGCCTGTTTCTCCATCCTCGATATTGTTGCCCCTCCGTCCTGGAAGTCAGTCCCTCCAAAGTGGGGCCTCGACTTCCAATACTCGGCGGCACTCCGAGAGGGGCAGTGCGAGGGTGCAGGCCTTCGCAGAAGGCGGCGGGGCTTTCTGAAGCCTCGAGCCTTCTGAGAAGCCGTCCGCGCCTTCGGAGAAAGCACAGAGAAATCCTCCTTGGAGGCCTCCTGGGCCTTCTCAGAAGGCCCGCCCCCTCTCGGACGCCCCTCCCCCCCCACCTCCCCCTCCTCCTCCTCCTCCTCCTCCTCTTCCTCCTCCTCCTCCTCCTCCTCCTGGAGGCGTTGGCGCTACAGCTCGGCTCTCCGGCGGCCGGTTCGGGGCGATGCGGGCACCCCCGGAGTGCTCTCGTCAGACCCCCGGAGACCAGGACACAGACTGTTCCCTAAGGGCTTATCGACTTTTCGCCACTCGACTTGTGGGAGTCGAGCCAGATATATCCAGGCAAATGCAGATAAATCGACACAAGTCAGGGTAAATCCAGGCAAATCGAGACACATCCGGATACATCCAGATAAGTCCAGAGGTCTCCAGGGAATTCGCGGCTGCTCCAGCGCGAAGGACGGCAGAAGTCGTTAAGCCTTTAACGAACTATAACTAGGACATTGGCAAGTCGGGGAAACGACAACCTTTCCTGCAAAGTCAGATTTGGTCGTCCAGGGCGTTTTTTTGTTGCTGCTCTGCAGGATTCGGGTCTTTGTCTGGGTCTAGGGTGTGTTTTGCAAGCCTCGAGGGCCTGTGTCTGGGTGCCTTCCGGAAGTGTTGCGGTGCAGTCTTTTCTCGTGCCGCACTCTGGAACACATTGTTTCGAGGGATGCTGTATGTCCTAGCCTTCACCACCCACCAAACCACCCCCCAACCCGACCCGAAGGCCTCAGTTTGCCCTCCATTTCCAGTGGGGGGGGGTCGGGGAGCATTCTGAGAAAACACACATGAAACCCGTATCCCCCCCCGAAATTCGGGTCTTCGGGTTGGGTTGGGCTGGTCTGGTAGGTAGTCAGGTCTAGGGGAACGAACAATGACGTAAACATAAAAACTCGGAGGTCCGCGCGGATTCCTCGGATCCGCGCCGGACCCCCCTGGCGGCGCCGGAGGCCCCTGGCGCGCTCCGCGCGCCTGGGAGGGGGGTCCCAGCGCCGATCCGAGGAATCCGCGCGGACTCCTCAGAGTTTTTATGTTTACGTCATTGTTCGTTCTCCTGAGGTCTGACGTGTCCGGATCTACACCTTAGGCGATGCTTAAGAAAACCTGAGTTTTCGGCCAGAGTCTCGATTATTCTTAATGTTCCAATGTAAATCTTAAGATTTTGATGGAACTGTTGGGTCTTTGTTCAAGTAGTGAGACTATGAATTTCTGAACCCATGATTTCTTAAGCATTTCGCAGGATCTACGGGGCCCCGGACCTCGGCGAGGCGCAGCTGCTGGCACGCATTCCCGCGGCCGGAGCACTGCGGAGAGAGCCGCCGAGCACGCTCCGTGGGCGCCCGCGCGCGGCCGAGCACGTCCCCGCCGCCCGCCCCGCCGGGGCGGAGGAGGAGGAGGGAGGAGGAGGGAGGAGGAGGAGGAGGAGGAGGAGAGGCGTCTGGCCCAGGCAGGGAGCCCGACCCTAGGCGTGCCTTCAGAGAGGCCGCGACCGACAGATTCTTCACTACGGCCAAGGAAGCTCCTTGGCATAGGCGCCAGCGCTTGAAGCGCACCAGCGCCCGCCTGATTCTTGCCCTTTCCAAAGCTCGATCCCTCCTTAGGAACCACCACAGTTCCCCAATCTTTGCGATGAATCGCCAAGGAGGCCCCCAGCAGACATGGGACTGCGCGTGTGGCAGGTTTGTCAAGGGCCACCATTGGAAGTGTCTATGTGGTCGTCATTGGAGTCAGCGAGTTCTCCCTCGAAGCCCTGATCAGGAACGGCCCCGCGCGTCCAGTCGGACGCGGCAGACCATCCGTCAGGAGCACCAGCAGAAGGAGTTGAAGCGGGAAGAGCAAGAGGTGAAGCAGCTTATCGGCAGGGTAGTGACGATGAAAAGGTCGGAAGCGACTGAGGCAATGCGTTTCCTGGGATATGAGCAGGTCCCCACGGATGTGCCAGGAATCAAGTCGTACAA